ACAGATTCAAGGGAGATTTATCTATAAACTTTGGAGATGGTAAAACTAGTAGAAGATGCTAGTAGAAGAAGAAAATTTTTACCTAAGCATGGGGAAAACAAAATGAGACCTTCTGAAATAATACAGTGGCTACCAGCTGACTTTTTTCAGGCCTTTCTGTACTTAGTCTGAATACTATTTTAGGAGGAAAATGCCCCTCATTCAATCCAAACCCATGTAGTACAAAGTCTCATGCAACTCGGGAAGCTGAAATAACCTCTTCTCCAACCTCTTTCCCCAGAATTCTTGAATAGCTGCCTGTGGTTAAACTGGAAAGCATTTGGAAATTTTTGAGCTGAAATGCAGCTAACTCAAAAGAAAGCCTGGCTTCCTACAGAGGTGTAAAGGGTGTAAAGGAGATTGCAGTGCACACTGTATTGGTACTGTGAGAGAGTTGGGTCCTGTGCAGTTAGGTGAAATGGCACTGGAAGCACCAAAGCTCCTAAGAATTGCTTCCTTGCAGATGAGTGGTTCTGTGCTCCCTGCTTTACTGAAATCTAATCTAAAGCTACTGCAAAAGACACTTGCTTTCAAAGTTAGAGAGGTGATTCTGGAGGCCTTTCAGTAGCAGTTCTGCTGAACTCAGTAACTTTATCTGCATAAGATGGACACAATACTTTATCTAAAGCACTTATGAGAAGCTGTAACTTTCACAGAGATCAATATATTTTTAGATATTCCAGGAAACCAAAATGTATGGATTTGAAATGTATGAAATCGCTCATTAGGTCTTCAAATATTTAAGTAATATTGTCTGGTATTGCTTTATTAATAAGTTTACATGAATAGTGATTTTCTTGTAAAAACAGATAAACCAGATACAAAAGACCCTGGGGGTCCCTTCCAGCCCTACATAATGAAAAGATGACACTGGAGATATATGAGGTTTGCTACTGCAAAGGATCAGCATCTCAGTAATTTGTTCTTTAAGTCCTTGAATATGTGTCATTTTATGTCCTCATAAATTTTTCAGGTACAGAGCTCATATTAATTATTGATTGACAGATAAGTGTTGACTCCCATTGCATGCAATTAATAATGCATGTCATGTTGTGAGATGATAAATGTATTCTATGAAAGTGAATTTAGTATGCCTCAGATGCTTATACTTTCCATCATCACGAACCAAGTTTCATATATATATATATATATATAACAAAATTATTTCCATTATACTTTTTGAGGGGGGAAAAAAAAAGAATTTCATACTTTAGAGTTGTACTCAATTCATGTGGGAAAAAAAAGGAGACGGGCACCACTTAGAAGAGAGTTTGCACAGTTTATGGCTTCCCTACAGAACTAATGCACCCCTTGCTTGGGTGAAGCGCCTTACTTTGAAGAGTGTGAGGCTTCCCCATCCCTGTGGGAGCACAAACCATCTGGCAGGACTTGGCTAAGGCAGGATTGTGGACAGTAGAGTAGGTGTGAGTGGAAAAATGAACACAGGCTACAGAACCAGGAGCCACCTGACAACTCCCTCGACAGCTCTGACTGCAAAAACATGGTCCAAAAGAGCCCAGTTTGTTTGAATGGGAGCCGGGGCTGTTTTCAATAGCACAGGAGTTTCAGCTAATAGCTTGATATTTGCATGAGTTACACCCATTCAAAGTGAGGCCCATGGGCCTCAATAACAAAACTCATTGATTTCAATTAGAGGGGGCCTGGGTCTATTTACTGTAAGTGAGTCAATTCTCAGAAAAATAATTAATTCCTTGTCATGTCTCATGTGTATTGATTTTTGTAATTACACTAAAATGGGAGGAAAGAGGGGAGGGGGAGGAAACGCACTTGATTTATGTTTAATTCGATGCACAGTCTGTCAAGAACAAAGAACCCGAGACGCAGTGGCCATGCCCATCCTCAAAGCAGCCCGTTGTGCTTGCTCAGGGACTGCCAGAGGCACCGGCGTGGATAAACTAAAATCACAGCCTGCTCTAATGTACAGAAATCAGTACTGAGGGGTAAAGAGCTGTGCTTCTAGAGCAGCTTTCAGAGTACATGGAAGAGATGCTCAGGGGAAAGCAGATAAGGGCAGGACAAGCTTAATGTGTGTTCGGAAATAAGAGAAAATGACAAAGAGGTAGAATAGGGAAGAAAATAAGCATAGGCTATTGCTGATAATAAAGCTGCAAAAATATAATTTAAAAAAACAAAGGAGAAGAGAAAAAAATATATGGGTTTGTATAATGATGATGGTGTTATGAAAAAAGACAGTAGCATGCAAGCATTTAAATTTGTTTCCACTAAACTTTCCCTAAAATGACCCTCAAGCTAGAAATTTCTTGGCATACGGTCAGTCAGTCTTTGACTTCTTAAGAAGGTGAGATGTTCCTTTTCCAAACATGGTTGTGGAAGTGGTTGGCCTGCTCCCATACACAAACAGGGATTTGACGATTTCTAGTTTCTACAGCATCAGAGAGAATTTTGTAATTAAGGTATCCTCATGATCTTGGTAGATACAGTATGAATTTTGGGTCCATAAAGCCAGTCCTTGCATTAACTTCAATGGGATCACAACAGGCAGAATAATTCTTTCCAACTTTTTTCCTCACAGCATCAGTTCAGGAACTGAAACTCTCTTTTATATGAGAGAAAGGCATCTTTTATACGAGTGTCATGCAAACAAAAGCTGAAACATGATCTCACAACTAAATGTTATAAAGAAATGAGGGAAATTGAGAGTTTAAAAGGTATAAATTAATTCAGAGTTAGGTGCCTCCATCTAGAAACCTGATTTTTTAAGCAAAGCAAAAACCAAGCCCTCTGCCTTCAGCACACAGAGCTACTTTGCATGGGGATTTAGCAGTTTTTACAAGTTGTTGTCTAACGTCAGCACCCTGAGGCAAATTATCCTCTGGTGACCTACCCACACTGCGCCAAAGGAGGCTGCAAACTCCCACTTCGACAAAGACTAATCTCATGGCTCTGGCAGCCTGTTGCCCAAGCCCTGTGAAGCAATGTTCCTGCTGGCTATCGCAGAGCTCTCTACACCGAGTCATAACACAACCAACTCTTAGTCACTGATAAATAACCAAATTACAGTGATAAATGATGGCACATCTGTCTCCAGTAGCTTCACTGGAAAGAATATGAAAGTAGGAATCCTTTCCCCCTTAAAATATGAACGTTTTTCTTTAGAGGTTGAGTTGATCCTGCCAGAAAACCCTTTTGACAGAGCTGGCATGAATTTTAGTGGGAGTAAGGATATAGAAGCATGAGGCCAGCCCATTAAAAAAGTTACTCTTCAAAGGGCTGATATTTGCATTAAACACATTGGTTCTTCTCAAGTGGGAAGATACTTGCTCTATAACATATACCATGTCACTACGGAAGGTTAGGAAGCAAATATTAATATGGAATATGAACCAAAAGATAAAAAGGGACTAATAAAATGAGCAATTATGTTTTGCCTAAATGCTCTCATGCCAATAAGAGGCATACACCATCATATACTCCCCAGAGGCCATGCATTTCAGCATGTGGGAAACACAGGAAAGCAGCCAGTCCCTGGGAGACAAGATACTTCAGAGGATTTTTCCCTGATTGCTGCTGATGGCCGGATGCAGGGACAGATGAGGGATCTGCAGTTGCCATGGTTCAACTTTTGGCATGGCGACAGCTTAAGGAAGAGTCTAATACTACTCATCCAGCAGAGTCCTTCCAAATGCAACCCAGGTACTTAGGGACAATTTTTCAGTACAGATCTGCTATATATTAATAGATCAGCAAATGAAAAAAATCAAAAGAAAATAATACAGGCACAAAGAAGTAATTAAGTGTCCAAATATTTGTGAAAAACTGATATTAGAAGTACTGACTGATTTTCTTTGAATTACATTCAGCATTTTTAGAATTCATATGCCTGAGAAGCTCATGATCATGATTTGAATAATCAAATTCTTAACGTATCAAGAACTTTGTTTGACCCAAATGCTAAGAACATTGAAAAGTTCTGATTTATTTACAAAATGAGTGTTAAAATCAGAGTAGAAAATCAGAAATCCAAATATGCTTCTTTTTTTAAACTACTGCAAACTGCTATCTACTCACACGTTAGACTGAGTCTCTTGCTATTACAGAAATGAGATGACAACATTGATTAGCTGACACCAATACTAGAATTCCAGCTCTAATGCAAGCAGGGAAACATTAGGACTGTGGACATAGACAAGAAATTAAAAGTGAAGCCTAGAACACATATTTGAGCTAGTGCAGAAAACATGAAAGCAGAGATGATACAAAAGGCTATGAAGAATCATACTTGGATATGAAAACATGAAAACATGTCTGTTAACAACAGTGTGATTACATAGTTACGGAGGTTTTCCCACAGAAAAATCATATCCAAATGAAGAATTCTGATTTTTTTCCACTGAAGTCAATGGTAAAACTACCACTAGTTTCAATAACAGCAAGATTCAGCCCACTGTCTTTAGAATCAAAAAAAATGTTTGTGCTCCAGGATATTGCACACAGGCGCAATGCACAAAATCAAATAAGAGAAAATCCAGCTCATAATATATAATATTAAGTACTAATATTATGAAAATTGCTCACTGTTTTCCATAAAAATATATCCTCCATTATCATAAATATCTGAGGAAGCATGCTAAAAAGATATCTCTCTTTTTTTTTTTTCCTATGTAAACTGTGTTTTGTTTTTGTACAGCTAGAGCACCTTAGAGCAAAGGGCACACTCTGCTGGCCAGAAGCAGCATTTACACTGAAGACTTTTTAACGATATGGAAGTACTAAAAAATAAACCTCCTTATGTGGTATCTAGACTGGTGGCAGTACTCCTTGCTGATTACAATTAATCTGTTTTATCTTCAACATCAGAAAAAGCAGCTATGCTTTATGTATGGACTGTCATATTTGAGCATCAGTCTACCTGACGCACAGAACACTTTATTTTCTGAAGAACATTTTAAAGCAATGTAATGTTGTTCAAAACTCTTTACCTTCGGTTTTTCATCCAGTATTTGCTGACGAATCTCCTTGTGTTTTTCAACAAGTTTCTCCTGTCTTTTACTTTGAGCATCTTCTAGCTACAAGAAAATACAGAGTCCTGTTTCAGGCATTGCACATCCCTTCCTTTCCCACTCTCTCCCCATCAAGTTTTTAATGTACCAAAATTAAAATGTGATCATCAAAATTGTGACTATTTCTAATATAAGCTTACACACCACGCTCATAAGCATCACCGAACTCCACAGCCGTAGCAGTTTTATGTGTACAATATATATAAAATTTCACACATAGGATTTTAAAATCAGGCATGTCTAAAATTTTTACTGTAGACTGTAATGCTTCTAAAAGCATACTTCTGTCTCCAGAAGCAGAGGACCTACAGCCCCAGCGTCCTGAGTGAGCATGCTGATAAATTTTGGATCTCATTTAATAGAGGAGAAACATGTGCCTGATTCCAGCAGGATTTTTTTTAAACACATTCTTTAGGTTGATTCCTGAAACAAAGCATTTTTGAGCAAAAAATGGGCCAACACTTGAATCAAAATTTCCCTGCACTGAAATCAAGGAAAATAAATCAGCAGTGGTACATTTTGCTGCAATTTCACAGCAAAACACTGCAGTGCTTACATTTAGCCCAGAGTAAATCACCTATAGGTAGAGACAACCTTTCACCTGTAATTAAATTATTTGACTTGTATTTACAGCACTCTTAGAAACTGTACATATGTAATGAATGTTAAAATATACTTTGCAATTAAATGTTTAGTAGCTCTAGTTCTTATGCTACCATTACAGTCATGAGCCAGCAAACCAATTAAAAAAATGGCAAAACAAACAAAACCTTTCTCAGTATCTGAAAGCAACCATAGGTAAATTTCCATGAATAAACACAGAACATTCAGTGATCAAATCACTGTATTAACTCTATTAAAAATTGCCCTCTCACCATCATATACCCAAAGACTGATTAGCGATTACTCAAGAACTACATGAAATTCAAGTTTTCCTTCAAGTAGAATGACAGTTGTAGTCTACACAGTATCTGCTAAAAACTTGCACTTGCATGAACTACACCTCAGAAGCTTTTAATCTTCGGGTTGGACTAGATGACCTCCAGAGGTCCCTTCCAATCTTAAACATGCTATTTTTTTTTCAGTGTAAAAAGACCAAAATGTGCAGGTTGACATTGCCTCCCACCCCCAAATGGAAAATAAACACATGCAATGGTCTGACATACCCTTTTTATGTACTGCACCACCTCCTGGATATACGATCGAATCATTTCAGTCTTCTCTCTGGGGAGGAGCAATCATGATGTTATTGCAGTCAGTAAGACCATATCAATGTATTTTCATCTGCCACAGCTCCCCACGGAAGGAGCAAGGTTATGTGGGGGACGCATGGGTCTGCCTTGCTAACATTCATCTGCTTTCTGCGTGTGTCATTCACAAGAGGGTGCATCTCAATTGCATTCCGCCATGACCAACCACAACAGGTTACCCCCACAGGGTCTTTGGGGATGTACGTGCAAGGTGATGGCTGCATTTTTTCAAGTCCTTAAATGGACTTCCAAGAGAATGCACAAATACAGGTTGATGCACAGAGTCACTCTGTGGCACATGATATTGTAGAGAAGTAGTCTTTACCAGCAAGCAGACCCTACCGGCGACATTGTGGAGGCAATGGCAAAACTCCTGCTAAGCTCAGAGCAGACTCCATTTTAATACACATCTTTGCTGTTTGTACCACAGAAAGCTGAACCTCGATGAAATATCTGAATTTTAAGTGACTCAGTGAGATTGTTGTTAGGCAGCTTTTGGAGAAAGGCTGAAGAAGAGATCCCCCCAAAAGATGAAGGCACATGAAATAATAATTCCTGGAAACCTGAGTTGACCAGATCCAGGACAGTACTCTAAAACCTAAGTCCAGAACAGTGAATTGTTATTCAGGTGGCACTAAAATCTGATGTCTTTGGGTAATTATAAAAGCCCTGAGCACATGTAAGAATTAAAAAAAAAGAAAAAATAACGTAATATATCATATATATACACTCACATATATATAACACATATACAAAAAATACATATATATATATATACACATTATGTGTGTATATAGATGTATACACATATATATGTGTATTAATATAATATATTGTGTGTTAGGGGTCTTTCCTAAATACGTGTAAGAAAATCCAATTAAACAGTTGCCACAGATGACTCAGGTGGAATTCACCAGCAGGTCTCCTACACCCTGTCCTACTTTACGGGCGAGGACAAACTGCTGCTCCAGACAAAAGCACCTTTTCCCAAGCAGTTCCTATCTCACCTTTCCCACGGGCTCTTTCAAAATCTTGGCAAAGGAAAGCCCTTGGGAAACATGAGGAAAAAATAAAAGGAAAATAAAAGAAAAATACTTTTATCTTGCCTGTTTTCAAACCTTTCTTTCTGGTGTCTCATCAACATCTCAGCTGGCAAATCATTCTCTACTGCAATCAATAGTACAACAATGGCCAACTTTCTAGTATGATTTTCATGCCTTTTTAACAATGGTAGCCATCTTAAATAATTCACCCCCTTTTTTATAATCAAACATTCTCATTTTGTTACCTTTTCTCTAAGATGCTAAACAAAACTCTCTTAATCTCTGTTCTTAAAGCAGCTTTGTGTGTGTGCCCTTGTGTGTGTGCATATACATGTCTGCTTGTGACTGTGTATTTTGGGCTTTTAGTGTCCCTCCTGTATTGTTAACTGCTCTTACATTTTACTAAAATAAACACAGTTAACAAATAACTTAAGATTAAATGTTTCATTTTCTTTCTCAGCTGTTTGCCACAACAGATGAAGGATAAACAAACCTGGATACCCTTGGGAAGAATATAATCAACTTGCACAACTTCAATTTGCATTGTCTTGTGGTGCATAGATAAATTTGAATTAATATTTCTGTCCCTGCTCACAGAAGCTGCACCCTCAGAGATCAATTCTCTTTTGCTGGAAGTAACTGTATAAAATTCTCACTGGAGGAGAATCAGTAGCACAGCATCTGGGGGAAACACATCACAAAAGTAGAGCAAACCCTCCGATAAATTGCTGCTATTTAGAGAGCAGCTTCAACAGATTTAAGAAGAAAAGACAACTCACAAGTGAAAACCTATGCTAAGGTGGGATTCAAAGTTGCAGGAACTGAAGCCCCTAAGTCTATTTATAGCCTTATTCAGAGCAGTAGTGTTTGGAAGGAAGTATTTGGAACAGACTCCTGGTGAATCGTTCTGTCCCCAAAGCTCTTCTCTTATGCCAGACACAAACATGTGCCCAAACCAAGCAGCGGCCCCTTCGCAGCAGGCCCAGACTCTCAGTGCTTGCAGAACAGGAGATTAGATTTGTCCCAAGAAATTAAATTAGATAGGACTGCACTTTTCTAGTCAGCTATTACTGTCTGACTAAAAGCTACCCTGTATTTAGGGTTGAGACTTTTTGATTTTCCAGTTTTGAAAAACCTTGAATCTCTTCATAACATGTAAGGATATGCATTCAAGGATACACTTACTCTTCCATTTGATTTTTATCCTTAGATTTTGCTTCTGTGATCTTCTCCTGCCTCTTCTTGTCCATTTTTTTCTTCAATTCTTTCTTTTCTCTAAAGAGTGAGGAAAATAAAGGTAAGTTCAGAATGTATCCAGACATAACATAGGAAGCTGTGATCAGTTATAAGGGAATGGCACCTTACTTTTCACAGGTTTCTTTCAGTTTCTTTAGCTGGCTGTTCTGACACTCCTCTGCTACATCTGTCAACTTCTGAATAAGCTAAAAAAAAAAAAAAGTATCATCAGCTAAGCATCATGAGTGAATCTAAATTTCCTTAAAAGTGTGTGGCAGACATGTAAAAGTATTATATTATTAAAAAGAAAAAAAAGGAAAAAAAAGAAGTTCTAGTTGACTAAGCTGTCAACAAGCCACGATTCCTAATTTATCTGTGCCTCAATGCTCAATGTTCCCTACAGTGAAAATAAACATGCATGAACACTGAGGGGAGAGTGTTGCCCTTCCATAGGCAGGGCTTACCTTTAAATTTAAAGAATGATGATTAAAGCAGAAAAGTGAACAATTAGACTTGATCACCTCTGCAGTTTAAATCTCATCCTGTAAAAGACCCTCAGAAGTAGGAATTGGGGAATGTATAGAAATGCTTAACTAGTCAGATTCTGCTTTTTTTTTCCTTAGGTAAAAGAACAAAAATACTGATGATAAACTTCCCTCTAAACATAAGAACTCAGAATGAATCTCTCATCTGTAGGACAAATTTTAATCAGAACAAATATTAATTCCAACAGCTCAGAGGGAAAACTGTCTAAATGTTCTGGGTTAAAGAATTCATTTATCATGATGCTACCTGAGCAACGCAGAAAACCTGACTAGGCTTTGGGAACTGCCACTTTCCATTTTGAAATTGGAAAGGAGTTAACTTGCAAAGCGAACCCTCACAACTATGTGGGTCTAAAATGATTTATTTTTCTAGAAATTAAAAATACTGTACTACAGCAAACTAAAAAAAAAAAAAAGGTACATATAATGCTAGAGTGCTTCCACTAATGCAAACTTTCTGAGCAAACATGTGAACATGGGCTAGATGTTGAAGGAACTTTTCAAGCTGTTCCTGGGCAGCCAAGTGATTCACACCCTGAGCAGCTCCTGGGAGCTGTCCTATAGGAAATACTGCAAGGTACAATCCTCTGGAGTTGGACACAGTTCGCACTCCCACGGCACCCTGTAAAAATATCCCTTTAAGCTGCAGAACACCCATCAGCATCAGCTGCCATCTGCTGAAGCTCCTCTATTTCAGCTCAGAGGGCCTGGGATCCCAACATAGCTGTCAGCCAAACTCCAGCTGTAAAAACACAAGCTGCCTTGGCCTGATACATGCAAAATATTTCTTTACCAGATACAGATGATGCCCTGCCTCCCTGAAAGTATTCAGTCTGCAAGAAGACTATTTGCAGGCACCACTTGGTGCCCTGGGGAATGTTTGAAGCTATTTCTGTTTATTTATTTTCATGGTGCTTGGTTCAATTTGTTTTCCAGCTAGTCCTGCCTCCTCAAGCACTGTGTGTCTAAAAAGGTGACATAACTGAAGGACTCAGTGTTAATAATCATCATTCCAAGGGCCTTCTTTCCAAAGCCCTTGGTGTGTGCTTGGAGCACCGAAACCCTTGGAGTGGCTGAGGGGAAATCAAGCCCTGATCTGGTCTCCAAGCAGGGGGAAACACCGCTCCATTAGACCATCTCCCCACCTTCACTTCCCACAGAGGGAGGGCTAAGGAAAGGCAGACGCCGTGGCACACGTACCAGCTTAATGTGCTCCCGCTTCTGGTACTTCTCGCTGTAATACTGCTCCTGCCGGAGGTTTAGCAGCTGCTGCTGTTGCTTCTCCTTCAGCTCCACCAGCTTCTGGGTCATTTCCGAGTCAAGCGCGGCCAGCTCCTGTTCAATGGTCGAAGAGCTGTGGTCTGGGCTCCCCGCTTCGGATCTGCAACGACACACGGACACGCGCCGGCCCCGCGTCACGGTGTGGGTACGCGCCGCCTCAGACTTCATCGCCGCTTCTAAAGCACTTGAGTTACATACAGCCCATCAAGTTTTGCAGTCACAGCTCAGATACCACAAAGCTGCATTCATCAGTTTTTACACCGGTAAAATACAAGCATATAAATAAATAGCCCCCAAACATCAACTTCATCAAACCTTGGCTGAATTTCAGACATGAGGCATAAAGCATTGATTGCTGCTGATCACAGAAAATGCATTTTTATGACAATCTGACACACAGATTCCTGATAAAGTAGTGATTTGTACTCGAGTTACAGGCAAATAGCTGCAGTAATACTGTAAAAGATAAAAATTGTCTTTTTGCTGGGAAGCAGTATTCTATTAAAAGTTTTCTTTTTGAGATAATATGTACTTGCAAGTTTCACCCTAAACACCCTAAATAGACATGTCTGCCTTTTGAAACTCAACATCTATTTTTTAACCTTCAGATTTCCTATCACATAAAACTTCACATCTCTGAAATTACTGTGACAGCTTGGCATAATGAAAGGGAGTGGAGTGTTTTATTGCCTGATTATCATGAATGATTTATGGTCAGATCAAAATGAAATAGATATAAAAAAAATCCTTTTCACGCAGAGATGAATGAGTCATTTTATTTACTCAGTTTGTTTTCCTGCTTAAATTGAGCAGGATATGCTAGAGAAAAGAAAGAAACCTGAAATTATTTTGTCTGGCACTACCTGTCCCACAAATCAATGTTGGAAAATTCAGCATATAAAACGTCACAATATATGCAGTTGACAACCAGTCATTAAGGGAGTTTAGAAAACTTGAAGGCAGTATCTCCAAGCCTGAAAACTGGCTACAGTTAGGGGCAGCTGAACACAGATGTACCACGAGTATTATGTTCCTATTAAGCTAAATGAGGCAAGCAAAAATGAATAAGCTCCTTGCTAGAGAAAGCTTATGGCCTGAATCCCAGTTACTTATAATATGTTTAGCAGCCAGAGAATGGTTGTAGCTGTCTTCTCTGATAGTCTCCTCCCAGAAAGTATCAAGAAATGTTCTTATTGCTTGTATAATATTTTCTTCTTTAGGAATAGCAGCTGAACAATTTTATGCAAAAATTAAAGGGCTTCTGTGATTACCTAATTGCTTTAAGAAATAAATTGTTAAAATCAGAATGCTGCCCTGATGAGAGAAAGAGGAATCTAGGAGGGTACACCTGTCTGATTAAACACTCCATTTTGAAAATGTTAGATGCTGATTGTACTTGTTTGTGTGTAAGTTTTGCCTGGAGTTAAGAATGAGCTTATTAACAGAAAGACCCCTACTATATAAACAAGATGATAGTTGTGAAAAGATGAAAGAATCACAGTAGCCTTTGTATTTCAAACTGGTAATCAAAAATGCAATGCTTCCTCATTACTATCTAAACAAAAAGAGTAAAAATGACAAGAGCAAGAAAAAACGATAGGGCCAAGTAAGACTGAGGAAGAGTTATGACACAGAAGGGGGATGTACTCAGCAACAAAATCAAGTAATCATTAAGGAGGCCTAAGGTGATCTAGATGGTTCATCATTTAATCTGTAGTCAGATGTTAATAACTCTTATCAAGTGTTTCTTTCATGTAAATATATTAGATGCTTTGTACTCCACAACCAGGTTTTTGTCAGGGTTCTAACCTGGAGATGATGCTTTCCATCAACAAATTCAGAATATTCACGCTATCCAAAAATAATCACATCACAGAGGACTAAATTATGTTTCTTTTGATACTGAGGTCTTGCTTTGCCTCCAGAAAGCATTACTCCGATGGCCTGGAGTAAACTGATTCCTCAGTATGGACAAGATACTGAGATACTTGATGACAAGACACTGACTGCTGTTGTCAGTACAGCTGAGTTACCCACCAGTATCAGAGCTGAAAGTCTCTAGACACAAACATTGTGCGGCCTCATTTATAAGGAAGGAGGTATGAAGTCATGAAAACCTTAACTACTTTCCAGAGAGTGGCAGCATATCATGAGGAAGGTTTCGTTGGATGATCCACATTGATTTCTCTATACCAAAGTCTTTGACTTTATTTTGATTTTTATCTGTACCCTAATGTCACCTCCATAGTATTTGTCTACCATAAAACAAGACTGAGTAAGATCTTTAGTATTAACGTCAGGAAAGCTGCATTCAACATACCTTTTCTTACTATCTCTTTTTGCCGTTTTTTCTAAAACTGCTCTTCGTCGCAGGTAGTCATTTTGGATTTCATTATACTTCGCAGTGTGCTCTTTGATAAGATCAGTGGTTTTCTTGTGATGCCTCTTTACAAGGTCCTTCATTTCCTTGTAGTGCTTCTTCTGAAGCTTGACAAATGACTTCTGTTGTTTCAGTTCCTCAATAGTCTGTGCTTCCACTTCTGCAATGGTAATAGCAAAAGCCACTTCAATTTTCCCTGACTGAAATCACACATTATCAGCACACAGAGATTGCCATCAGCAGGATCTGGGAAAGCCAAGGCGAAGTCCGTTCCCAGACCTCTCTGCAGAACAGGTGTATGAGACCAGGTTTGCTCATGCTCAGGGCCAGTCTCTCCATACTGCCTTTCAGGGAGACTGCAAGGCAAACAACACGCTGACTTGCATGTGTTTCATCTGTTCTCCACACCTCGATCTAGGCCTACACAACATGGCCTTGGACATGGAGTGAGTTCTAAGTCAGGGGAATGACTACAAAATAAACTGAAATCTAAAATCTCGTTCTGTGTTTGAAGACATGACTGCCAGCGATTCAACAGGACACTAGCTGATTGGCAGCCAGTTTGCTTAGCGTAACAGAGCAGTTCCAATTCTGCAGGAGTGCTGCAAAGCCAATGGAGATAAAATAATTTCACTTCTATTCACAATATCTGGAGCAGCTTAGCTTCAATTTTGATAATAATGCATTCTTTCACCTGTGTGAAATGGTAACATAGTGTTGTGCCTATAAGATTGTAAAACCAGGACATTTAAAAAAAGATTTCCTACAGGGATGCAATACTGAAATGGGTGCTCAGACATTTCATGCCTCAAAGCCAAGGAAGAAGAGCTGGTTCTATGACTTACTGCAATCACAATCATTGAAAGAAATATATAAGCCAGATGGTCCATTTCACAAAAGTATGTGTTTCTTGTGTATTTATTACCTGTGAGGACACTCTGAATAAGATCTTCTGTCTTTGCAGGTGCTTTCATCGAACCTAGAGATGAGAGAGATCACTGAGTCTGACTCTTTTAAAACCACAGCCACTGCTGTGTTGCTTGATTGTATTTTGAAACACGCAAGTGACATAAAACATGTGCTGATATAAACATTTATTAATCATTTGAGAAAACACATCCCTTCAACAGAAAATGTAGCAACATGGAAATCAACACAAGGCCTGAGAACAAACACTAACAACCCACCTGAGCTTCCATTTTTTACTAATGAGAAGGATGTTATTGAACTCACTGATACCACTCATCTGAGTCATTTATGTTAGGCTGATGGTTAGCACGACTGCTTTATATTACGAAGACAGTGCAAAAATTCTGAACATAAGATCAATCCAGCTCCTTAGAAGTCAGTTAGATCAAGCCTATGAAGACTGCAGTTATAAAATTATAAACACTGTGGTTTAGCAAATATTTATTAAAGAGAAAGTATAAGAGAAAGTATACAGAACTTATAAGTATCTAAAAATGTATTGTGTATGTAGAATAAGATCTAACAACATGCTCGAATTAGGCAAAATGTAAAAGTTAAAGAGATTTCCACACTTGCAGTAACAACAAAGAACAAACATTGAGCAAACATTGCTCATAATGATCTTCCATTTCAGACCAAAGGCAACTTTCTTAAGTAGAAGATATTTGTGTATTTGAAAAAGACTGGTGGAAAAAAGCCTACCTGTTTATACATACAAAAAAATCCTTTTACTCTTTAAAGCACATGAAAAAATCTTCAGGCAGGTTTATTTTACAAAGACCTTGCTATTAATTTACCTGGCGCTGGTTGGCTATGGACAACCTGAGTTGCTGGTTTCGGTGTAAGGGAGGCAGTGCAATTCACTCCATTTTCTGCTGGTGTTGACCTGGGTTCACTGTTGGCTTCCGATGGTGCATCTCCATGGTCAACCTGAAAATACATCATGATTTACATCACTCTTCTTAAGTAACAAAATCAAAATTGTTTATTTTCAGATCCAGTTTAGTCCCTTTTTAAATTGTAAAATTCTCTAAAGGCTGTAAATAAATTATTTTCAAAGAGAAGAAAAAAAAGTATCTTTAAGGGCCATGGTAAACCAGGTGGCTCATTTTTGCAGGGTAAATTTCAAAAAGAAATAGAGCATGTATTATTCTGTAACAGTATTTTTATTCTAAGCAGATATAGCTCAACAGGGACGTTTTCCAGTTCAGTATATATTAGCTGTACCAGATGTGAAATCTGTATTTTATGGGAAAGCGTTGTTCATCACTATAGTACTGTTTTAGAAATAATGCAGACGCTGGCATGAAAATATTGCTCAAATCCCTGCTGCGAGTAAAGCATGTAGACAAAATTGCCCTTAAATTTCAGAGATACACACAGCACTATCGTTATTCACCATTTCTTACAGCACAGAGACATCCTTCTGATTCCCAAGATCGCACATTCTTCTAATTAAACTCCAAGGACAATATGTAAACAGTACCTCCATCTTGCTGCATAAAAAACATCTGTGGTATCCAAATATTTAAGCATTTTCCGCAATCTTTTCTCTTTCTCTGGTTTCCTGAAGGTTTACTGCGTGCATCGCACCATGCACTGAGCACCACAGACCACCCCGTGGCCACCGGGTTTGTCAGTGACAAGCAAGTGGCTGGTGCTCAGCAAACCCAAGTCATTCACAGCAATTCTCCTCTGGAAACGGCCACCCCGGCCTCTCCGTGGTGGCTGCAGGGCCAGTTGCCATGGTGTCTGAGGGGAGTCCTGCATTTGTTCCTTCAGCTGCTCCCATTTCATTCCTCGATGCTAATCAAATTGCACGCAGAGGCAGGATACTGCACGTGTTTTGTTTTTTTTCCCCCTTGATTACACCACGCGTGCAAAATATCAGCCTGCCACCGCATCGACAGAGTCAAAACGCAGTGTGACCTAACTGCTCTGTGCTGCTCCTGCTGCTGATTTCCTTCCTCTCGGCCCTAACATCACTCTGCATTTCTCTCTCAATAGCCTATTTCTCTCAAAATTATAGCTGAGAAATACTGTAGTTGGGAGCATTATGCAACTGAAAACCATGCCAAGCTTCATTTATCTAAAACAGGAATAACTGCAATAAAAGAAAAGACCTCACCAGCATTCCTGATAGTGGAATGACTGGCAACAGCTGTGGTGGTATAAATCTATACTCCTCACAGGAGGTAATTCATTAATTTAGCAAAAAGAACATTTGCCACCCTGATTGCCAACATTTGATACAAAATAAAACTAGAATTTCTAACTTCTGGCAAGCTTGTACCCTAAAACTACTGCACGTGAATGTGGGTATCATCATCTTTGTGACTAGGTTTGTAAGGGGCGAGATGCTACATCACGGCCTGTTGAGAAGCTACTAGTACAGCCTGTCAGTTTTGGACAGAAAACATCTGTTTTCAGTAACCGAAGCAGAAATACGAGACAGGATCAGGAAGTGAATAAAGAGTAATTTTCAGTGCATCATACGATCTAATTTAATTACAAAGCACTTTCTCCTCTCATAATTAATCACCCACAATGCTAAAGTAAACATGATTTTTCCCTTAATGGAGAGTACTGGAGGCTCTTTTCTTCTTCTTCTATGTTTTGTAATATGTGCTATAATCTAACTTCATATTTTTTAGTTTTAATATTTATGGAAAATAGTTTCTATTCTGTTCAGTGCCATGTCTTTTTAGCCATGATATATTTACTCTTAAAATAGACTGATACTGTACAAGTACATGCTTACATAGTTGGCATTTCTATTTTTACAACAAAAGGGGCCGATGAATGTGTAGGGTGGGAGATCATACTCAGATGGGGGCAGTTAAATGTGCAAGCCCCACAGTGCAGGTATTTCAGTGCTTTTGTTCTGTGAAGCCCTCACTGCAGAACAGTTACTCTAAAGCCAGGCTGAAATTAAGTATTGGTCAGAAATCTAAAGCTAGCACTTCATGTCATATTCAAGATAAGAATACCGCAAAATAACACAGAATAGTTGCTCTAAGTTTTATCAGTTCTTCAGTGTTCTTGATTTATGTTATTACACTGATAATTAACAGACAATGTAATTCTAAGCATACAGAAAGGCTAAATTTATTTGTTCAAAATAGTTCATTATTAAGTAGCTTATTTGGCTGCTCTTTTGCAAGAAGCCTGAGGAACGTCTTACAAAAAATGCAGTTTACAGTGTAATACAGCAAAGAAAAAATATCTTAATTTCTTTTGACAGCTGCAAGAATCCAGCTCAGATAAACACATGTCCATGAGTAGAGGGAAAGGGGCTTGTGGCAGGGATCAGAGCTAACAGCTTTGGACACAAGAATATTAGTAGTGTGCAATATCTGGCAAACATACTTGCAATTATTTAACTACATTGCTAGTGATAATAACTTGCAACTATTAAGCAATGTGCTTCTTGCATGCCTCTGCAAGTGAATGAAACCAAACACTGATGAAGAAAATGTTATTTTGGAAGTCAGGAAATTTGAGATTTCCAAGTCAAGCCCAGCTGCCACAAATCTTACCTAGCATGTATGTTTGTAATTGCGAGGTGGGAAAGGTAGACCTAGACAGAGACATAAAGTGGCAATTTTGCACATGTCCTCCCTCTGCTGCTGCCTCTACTTTAATGACTATATATTTTTAGGAAATATGTGACCACAATCATTACAGTTTCCTTTAAAGGTATTTTTTGGTACTTCTAAAGTAGGTCTGTTATTCTGTGAGTTTTCAAGCTCCTTGACATTTGGTAACATTACCTAAGCCTCGTACTGCAATTCATCTTCCCCTCCTCCTAGTTGCTTTAAAAATTATTCTGTGGCAGAATTTTTCTTAAACTCACAAATAAGCCTGTACAGACAAGGGAAATCTGTACTTTTTCAAAAGTAAAAACGACCTCTAGAGGTATTTAAAGCATTATGTTAAAAAAAGACTTTGCTATTAAAATAGAATCTCATATGTCAAGCGTCCTAGATAAATGTCTAAGATACTATTGAGCATTTTACAGTGCCCTCATTCAGCCAAACTTGTGGCACAAAGAGTAGATTGTTGGCCACTGAATTGTAATGACTTTCACTCATCTGGTCTGCTTTGGGAATGTATTCTTGGTTACAAAATCTAGTTCAGATGAGGTTTGCACATCTGAGATTTGAAGAAAGATGCTACAGCTAAGAGCAGTTTAGGATTACAGAGCATTTCTCCATGTTTGCTAGGGATCTGCATCTTTTGATTCACATGACATGCCTAACACCTGACAAAAGCAAGCCTTAAAATACAAGGCAGATCTTCTCAAACACTGCTAGAAAATGTCCAAATGATAATGACTGAAGCTGAGGGAAACTGAATCTTTTTAATTGCTTTGAATTCCTCACGATATATAAATATACATCATAGACTATATAGAAAACAAAAGCTAAACTGTCAGTACTCTCAAGTATGCTCAAAATGACATTTCTCTATTTGTATGCACAGTATCTGCATTTATACAGAAAAAAAGGATTTAAAGGCTCTTCCTTAGGTAAACAAATGTATCCAACCACACACCAAACCACTGAAAAACTGTCTCCAACAGCTTTCAACTAAGCTACAGAAATATGTGCCTCAACATGTGGTCACACCATGCTCTCCTCCTCCATCTCTCTAAGACTTACGAGAGGTTGACCTGCAGAGGTGCTTTTCCACCTAAACTATTATTTGGTAGTATAAGGTTTCTTAAGTGCTTCTTTGCTCATGAGAAATGTGTAGAGGCATCAGGATTTGCAAGATATGAATGCTTCTTAACAGAATACTCTCTCCAGAAACAAATTAATATAAACAGCCTTTCGAATTCTGGAATATCTGCACTATTTTCAGGAAAAGCTACCAATACAGAGTTATCATTTCTACAAGGGTGACTCCTGCATCAGACTGGTAAGCACCAAAAAAATAACTCGTGGTGATCTTTGTTTATTAAATAGCAAAACTGAAAATCATCAAACACCTAGCATGGTTCTTCACTGAGCTTTTTGGTGTCTCCTTATGTCTTAATGTACTCTACAATGTGCTGATTTCAGTGGAAATGCATACACAGTGCTAAGTTCCTCAGTTAAAAAAGTATATCCAAGCCTAGTTCTGGGTAGGATTTTTAAAGCTGTTTAAATAATCAATAAATATATTTCCTAGAGACTTTGAAAATTTGGCTTTCTAGGCAATATAGAAGCGTTCACATACCGTAACATAATTCACAGAGACTCCGAAAACTCCCTTACCTCTTTCTTCACCTCTTCCTCATCTTCCAGTGTCAATGCTGCCAACTGCTTAGCTCTCTGCTCCATCAGGTTTACATATCTAATCGGATTGGATAAGGCCTCTATCACATCTAAGAAATAAAGCAAATACTTCAGTTGCAAGGCCCATAGGTTACAGTTCTAGTGTTCCTCAGGCTTGAAGAAAAAGACATGCTTTCTCTGAAGATCTCTTCTTTAGAGGTATTCTTAGGCTCTAAAAACAACAGTGGAAGAGAGCATGCTATCATGTGCAAGTTCTCTAAGATCAAACTCCTGCAAAAGGAGCACATGTGCTGGCAGTATTTTTTCACTGACCCTGCTCACAATGTTTGTAACCGAGAGCTAAGAGAAAAATGGGGCAGACAAAAGATTCTGTTTTAGCTGAGCTTTTCACTATGTCTTTGAGTTTGTGCTTGGGTGATATGGATGTGCATTTTTATAAATATGGTGTTTTATGATGGATTTTCATAGGCTTTCAGCAGTGGCCACCTTGGTTCCTGCTCCAAGATGTAGGGCACAACAAGGTGCATTCCACTATAGCCCAGCACTCCCTCCTTCTTAGGAACACCTACACACAACTGTGTCATGGAAACAAAGTTTCAATGATAAATGCCTCCTTTGGAGTCACATGAAGTCTGCTCGGAATTAGTTTGTGCTGATCCTAAACCACAGGTAGATGGCTACAAATTGAGCTGTTCTGCATGAGTGATGAGAAAAAATGATCCATCAGATGCAGTGCTTTGTTCAAACACTGCTATCCTACTACGTCGGGTCACTGACATGCCATCCATTCTGCATTTCAATTAACCTTTATATTTCCCAATAGGAAAAAAATCACAAAATTACCTGCATAAGTATCGGGTACATAGTCTTTGACCTCGATGTACACAAAGAGAGCTGGCAGTGTCAAAGGTTGGTTCCTTTCATTCCTCAAACAGATGTAGTGATAGCCTGCACAACAAGAATCACCGAGGTTACAGCATACATGGGGTATTTCCAGTGTAATCTTGTTATCATTTGTCATTGACAATGTGGCTCTAACTGAGCCAGCAACTCCAGGAACTTTTGATAGAGCAGGATTTACCTTAAGGTTTTCAAAGATAAGCATACAGACAAGGGGCTGTTAGAAAAGCACAGGAATACTAAAGTTTAGAAGAGTATTTCTGCTTTATTTTTAAGCCCCTGAAGGATGTTAAATGGCCATTTACACTATTTTTGATATATTCTATTTTATTCCTTCTGATTAGATTTTTTTTTAGTTTTGGAGCTCTTGTTTTATTTTCAAAACTAACTTTCATCATATTCAGGAATCTCAATTGCTGATAAAACTGAGATGTCCTAGTTCATCCAGAACACAGCATTTAATTAAACAACCAAGGCAACGCAGCACTTCTCCTCTAAAGACTGTGTCAGAACAAACCCTATCATGTAACCAGCCTTAGGAATGTACTTGAAAAAACATAATTTGCAGATGTTTAGACAGCTATCCTGCAAGAGTGAGGGCACAACACCACAACGCAGATGAGCCAAGTTAATGGTCAGCTCCCACCACCCACTCCTGCGCCTGCTGTTGTGCATTGACACTTGTCTGACATTGTAGGTAGACACTTCGGCAAGCTCAACTTCCAAAAAAGCAAATTCTGGAAACTGTGAGAAGTTTTCTATCTGTTAGAGCTGCATCCTCTGCCTCAGAAACTGCAGCTCTTATCCTAAGGAAGGACTATGGAGCTGTACATACATGTAGTGGAAGAATACGTCAGCAGCAGGATGTCCTTCTCTGGGACAAACTGTTACATACTCAGGAATATGTACTGGTTCAAACCTTGCTTTGGGAATAATGGTAATTCTGTGGATTTCTGCAAAAGTATAATAGTTTTCAATAATGTATAATAGTTTTCAATAATGTCTCATTCAGGTGTGGGTATTCTCCCAGAAATTAAAACAGAAAAAGAAATTACCTATTACAAAGATGTCTCGGTTCCCCTGAGCTGTATTTCAGCATGTCTGGAAACTAAAATCACCCCACTGTTCTCCATCACATGGTGTAAGCAAATAACCATGAAGTCAGCAGGACAGAAGACTGTCCTGTGGGTAGGAGCTCTCAGAAGTGCTTGCATGCTCTAACATAGTGGCCTTTGTTCTAAGAAGCGCAAACTTAAAAGGAGGTACATGAGGGAGTGCCCTTCTGAATAGGTTCTGTGCTGCTCAAAGGGACAGGCATTCTACAAGCTGAAGAGTTCCCTTCCACCAGGAGAGGGAAATCTTCCTCCTGCTCCTCCTCTCCCATCACCTCCCTTGCTCTGGCACTCTCCAACCTGCCACCAGGCAGTTTGATCTATGAACTCCGCAGAGAAGTGTAGCGAGGTGAGTGCGGACGCAGTCATCCTTCCTGCTCCACTGCGGCTGAGGCTGGGAACACATCTATGGCCTGCATGCTTGTCCTGTCTTGGGCTCCTAGCCACCCATCGCTGGAAAACTGGTGTTGAAATCTAACATTTCCCTTGCTCGAAATGCCAGGGTCGCCACATACTTTTGAAGGACACCTAACAAGTACAGCCCTTGCCTGGAAACTCACCGGGGCTGAGTTCTCAAAAAAGACAACTTTCAGTTAAGTGGCCATGCTAATTCTAATAACAGTAGCAATATGATTTGGAAGAGATCAGAGAAGATCTTTAAAATTTTCAACAATGATGATAAAATAATTTTTGGTTCACTTAAAGGTTTTGCAGAGATACAACAGCTTGCATATCCACTGTCAGTCTTTGCACGCAGGCCTGTAAACATTGCACCACAGCAGCAGGATTTGCTTTCGTTCCCAGCGCTCTTCCATTCGCACGAAGACGACATACCAAAACTGCCTGCTGCTGCCCTCTTTCCTCTCAAAAGAGTATAATTGTGCTTACCAGCATAAACCTGTGAACAAGCAGTTGATCTACTGTAGACCAGCAAGTGCCAACCATGTCTCCAATTCTTAACTCTATGGGTTTTCCTGGTTTGTTTAAATGAGAAAACCAGATTTAAGTGCAAATCAGATTTAAATTTCTGGTGAAATACAGTATCTTCCTGCTTGAAAATAAGCTATATTACTCAAATTCCCAGTTGTTACAAATCTGCAGAACTGCTGTTGATCTACAGTAGTTGAAATTCTGGCCTGTTGTTTCCTTTTAATATGCAGTGTGAGTCTCAAAAGAGAAAAAAGTTTACCTGGCCGAATTGCTGAGACGGGCAATATCCGATGACCAATAAATTTCCCTCCTTCTTCATACACTGCTAGCCTCAAACATGCCAGGGAAGGTAAAACAACCTAGTAGGAAATAACGTTGCATTATTAATGCTCTGCTTGGAACGAAGCAGTTGCTTCCAGATACAGGATATACTGCAGACAGAAGGAGACGGTTCTGTCCAGCAGATAGCAGCATCTGCTGCACATTTGCAGTAAATTTTAAACATTTCAAGAAACAGTGCAAGGCACTTGAGCAGCTCTGTTTTTACCACATTTGAACATGCTCTGTTCCCACACCCCACGTTTGATTATTATCCCTTTGTGTGTGTGCCAGCGGGATTACTTATTTCTGAGACAAGTCGCTGATAGATATACTAGTGTCGAAAACTCAATAAGCAACTCAACATGTTTTGCAGAGTGTTGAAGTATGAGTTACGTGCACATGTCAACCCCAGGGAGCTTTCCAGGGCTGTAGTCCATTTACTGGCCAGGCTAAAGAGCTTTAGTCAGGCAGGATGCTTGCTAGTATTGGTGACATGGTGTAGTTAACTGTGTAAAAAAGAACAAACAGAAAAAAAAAAAAAAAAAAGGCAAGACAGTTTTCTACACTACCCCACAACTTGAATCACTTGGATACACTCTTAAGTCACAGAAGTAAAAAAAAAAACTTAAATTTTATCCCTGCCCTGCCGATAAGACCTTAAAGAATGCACAGCATAATTTATCTCATTGTCTCGTCAATGGAAAAAAATGTACAAGTACATGTATTTTGACCCTTAATGCATATTTTTTGTAAAAAAATTTATCTAAAGTAAAAAAAAAAAACAACAATCCAAAACTAAGAGTTTTCATCAGTTGTTTTAAACATGACTAAAAATAGTAATCCATGCTCCTTCTGGGCATAGAGGCAGTCAAGCACAATCATAACTAAATAGAGAAATGAAGTACTCTAATTAGAAGTTCCTTGCAGAAGAAGAATGCTAGTGATGCTTCCGAAGCTGAGCTCTGGCAGACTTTCCCAAAGAAAGTCATTCAGAAAGCAAAATATTCAGGGAAGAGGGCTGCGCTCCCTAGAAAGCAGGGCTGCACACTGTGTGTAAGCATCCCCCCGTGAACTACCTGTGCCTATAGACACGTGAGAGAAGCTGCTGCTCCTCCAATACTGGGACTCAAAATGCACTAAACACACTGTCCAATAAACAAAATCTCAATAACAGCAGAGCTCCTGTCAGAAAAGTGGCTGTGAGTATACTTCTAAAACACAGTAAGACAGCCGCGCTGCATGATGCTGAAACAGGCTTAGCTTTTCTGCTCCCTGCGAGTTTGGAGATTTGAGTCTGACTAATACTGCTGAGAGTGCATGAGTAACTCAGGGGCCTACGTCTCATTTCAGTTGGATGGCATTTAGGCTATTTCACCACCTAGGTTAGATTTCTGCAGCACGACCTAGTGCTAAGCGGAGATAACACTGCTTTGAATGTGCCAGCTTGGACAGCCTAATTGGTACAGCTACAGACACAGGGTGTTGCTTGCAGGTTAACAGGCTCTCCTTTTCCGCAAGGCTGTTCAGGCCAGGCAGAATGCCACAGAAACTCAACAGAACCAGTGCTGGGCTCTGTGCTGGCTTGTTCGCTCAGCACAGCACTGCACTGTGTCACAGAGATCTGGCTATTGACGTGTTTGCTGTTTCCAGCTGTGTCAGTGACACAAACAAGGTCACTTTTAACCTGACCTATTTTAGTAGAGCATGGCTACAGTAGAAATGTTATACCAGAAGTGGTTGACAATGAACAGGCAAAGGAAAGGAAAAAAAAAAAAAAAGCCCTAACATTTGGAATCTCTTTATATTCTTTCTGGCAAATGCAAAGTTTCTGAAAACAGGGAATTATCCTCCTAGACAGAGATCAAACAGACGGGACGCGAGCGTTACACCAACCTTCTTGAACACTATGGTCTCCTCTTCCCACACAGGATTAACTGCATTGCCTTGAGAGGTCTTAGTCTTCAGAGCTTTTCTTCGTGTATCCACAGGCAGGCCAAACATGTCAACTTCTACGTAGGTACCAACTTTTTTATCAGAAAGAAACTGACCTGAAATTATCTAAAAACAAAATAAAGCAGGATCACTAGAGATAATCTTGGTTGATGAGGAAATGAGTGATTGAAAGTCAGATGGGTAATTCTCATTAATGATAAGACAGCATGTGTTCTTAAAAACAACCTCCCCCAAACAATAAACAAGCCACTAACACTGCAGAGAGCAAAACAACTTAGGAGGCCTGCTTTTCTGGGACCTTGTGACCCTGTATTCCCCTGTGAGTAATAATGTGGTTAAAATCATGCTGCTGGCCTTCCCTCGCAGGAACACTAATTTGGGTCTCATTTCTCAATCTGCCTGCCTATTTTCACAAGACATTATCTCTGAGACCTGCAATTTCTAGCTAGTTTCAGCCACAGGTTGAGAAGATAATGCTGGACAAAAAGAGGTGTGAACAGCAAGGAAACTGCGTGTGCCTTTTATTGCGAGGGAGAAGCTAAGCTAAAGAAAACATGTATTCTAATAGTAAGGCTCTTCACAGAGATAAAGTTTTGCTACAAGTTTAAGACAATTACAAAACAGCTGATGTTTACTACATCTTACTTTAAACCTGAAACCAGGTTTACTAAAAACTTAACCAAACTACTCTTAAATTCAGTAACTTCCTGATTAGTTGTCTTAAAGAGAATATATACAATAAAATACTCTAACCTGCAATATGAAACACGGGACAAGATCCTCCACACCTTAAAAAAAATAAATGTCACTCCCCGAAAGTAAATGCATTTTATTTTCCTCAATTGGTATGGTCGTTTGCTAGGCCACTGCAAAACTGATATGGATGTTCTGACCCAGTCAAGAGAGCATTTCCATGGATTGTATACATACCTTGACAGACAAGGTATTAGCTACTATTCCATCCACTATACTTTCAGTAAATGGGTCAAAATGTTTGTCTGGTCTCCTCATGAATTCTGGCTTTAACCTGTATCCGCTTTTGCCATTGTACTCGTACATTCCCATGTTTATTTGCATAGACAAATCTAGGTGGTAAAAATATTGATAAAGATTAGTTCTGAGTAGATCTCAATCATCAACAAGCAATAAAATAATATTATAATATTGCATAATAATAATATTGCATTGTAACTTCAAATATATAATGCAAACAGCCATTTATGGAATACTGCTATTTGTTAAAAGAGGTTTCAGATTTGATTGCAGCCACCCTCCTAGATTCTTTCCGTAAGAAAAGAGACATCTTTCAGGTCCTACTTTCTCCATAACACTTTCACATTTTAGAAGGTGCGTTTATACTTGTTCTTCTGTTCCTGAGCGTTGCACTAATTCAGGTCCAGACCTAGCAGAGTACTCATGTCTCTAACCCCTTCCAAAATGAGGATCTACATGCCCAACACTTGGCTGAAAGGGGCCTAAAGAGGTTTCCAATAGTCCATAGACTATGTCGACACCGTGGTGTGGTGTTCCTTGACAGTCCTGCCTCCCTGCTCGCCCGTGTAAAGATTCTGTGGAGCATGTCACAGCTCCCTCGTGGGCTGCGTGGGGCTTTCCTTTCCATGCAGAGGCAGCACCACGTGGCTTGGCCTGAGAAAGGAACAGGGCAGTGACACCAGCCTGGAGACAAGGCGGCCGGGATATGTACCGGGATGCAGCTGCCGCAGTACCTGCACATCTCTAGAACAGTCAGGGCCCTGGAAGACAACACACCCTATTTCAACAGTGACCTGTGCATCTAGGTGCCTAAATCTCTTTGTTTTTAAACCCCTCACTTTTAAAATGGAATATCTCACTTTGGTCTTGATATACTGAGGCTTCCATAGACACAGGAAAGAAAGTCATTGCCAGATCTCAAATGCTGCTCAACAGCTACGAATTACAAATGATGCTAACATGAAGATCATTATGTGTGTACATTGTACAAGCTACAGCATGTTAATTACGAATGTTCTTTGGATCTGGTTAAAAACATGATAAGTAATATTAAGCATCATTCAATTGCAGACAATCTTTTGGTGAATAAAGCCTTTCCTATTTCCCCGCAAAAACCTGCAGAGAAGTGGAAAAGTACAGCTTACTAAATCAAACGACCATCACAACTTACCTACAGTCTGGAAGTTAAGAGCCACCATCTGGCAGCCGGCGTTCCAGAAGACTTGCGGCATGTAGTTGGAAGAATCTACACGCGTTCCCTTTGGATAAATTCGGCTTAGCTGCATTTTGTTGTATCTAAAGTGGGAGTAGTTAAGACTTGGTTCACGTGATAAAAACTACTTGAAGAGAGGTTACACAATTCCATTATTCAAATGCAGTTGATCTTTGCAGAATGCCACGGTTTTGCTTTTTAAATTCCTGCAACCAGAATGTTTTCAGAGGTCCATAATTTTGTTGAAGACATGATAAACACAGCATGTTTAAAGGTGCCATTTGTTCCTGTACAGAGTGCATGGAGTAAGCAAGGAAACGCGTAGGCATATTCATCAAAAAGATAGTGTTCATAAAACTCTATGCATCATCACAGTTACTAATTTGTGATTTTCCTAAGATTGGGTTTATAGAGACTAATTAGCTGCAACCAGCAAACCACTCATGGGGAAAGAGGTGCTCAGCTTAAAAGTCAGAGTTCTTCTGAAATAAGCATTAGAATTAGTGTCCACATACAGACAGAAAGTATGAGTATGTACTTATGGCCAAATCTATAAATCTCAGACACCAGAACATGCTGCAGGTTATCTCTGTCCATTAATCTTCTTTAAGGCATTACTTTATATTGATCATTCTTTCTGAAGTGCTGCCATGAAAACAGACAGTGAGAAACACTGAAAGCTCTAGAGAGACCCTTAGCTTTTCTCTGCAAGTTACAAAAGAAAAACTAAAAAGGAAGCGGCTGCTGATAAAAGTTGCTCTTGGGACCAGAGGAAGAAGAGTTGGAGCACACTCTCTTGTATGCACTTGCAAAAACCCAAGTTATCCCCATCTTGACAATTTTGTCCCCATAACTCCTACCATCTCCATGGGATGACAAGTTCAACAAAGAGACTAAAGCAGCAGGTCTTCAGTATGGAGTCTATTCCTTCTGCTGTTAGGCCACATAGTCAAGCCTACACATTTTATTAGGGTTCCCATTTTCCCAGCTCCTCTCCCCAAATTCCAGTAAGTAAGATATAGAAAGGCTAGAAAAGTGATTTTCTGAAAGTTAAGGATACTCCACAAATTCCACAGGAGACTTTGTAAGTTGCTCGAGCCCTTTGGTTTCCACGAAGGAAGACATTTCGAAACTCTTGTTGCGTTCTGTAATTTTAAAGAGGAAAGAAAACAGTGACATACTAGAGCATGAAATCATAGGCTGCACATGAGCTGCAAACAGCTGGTTTAGTTTCAGTCCCTCTAACCCACCTACTGTTCACCAGCTCGTTTCACAGCAATCTGAAAGGATTTGTCCACGCAGTTGCTTGCTGAGAGCACTGAGCTCACTCCGCATGTGTTCGAGGGCCCTGTCAAACCCACACATTGGTGCTTACCTGGTGCACCGGCTGCAAGTCGCCAGAAATGCAGTGCACGGGCAGAGGCATCTCATAGAACATCATGTTGATATATTCAGGGAGGCAGAGCCCCAAGCTCATAGGTGAGGAGTAGAGGTGACATGCTTGCTATTGCGGGGAACACAGAGGGTCCTGGGGGATCTCTGTGCTCTCTTTGCATGTGGATACAAAGGGTCTGAGACAATGTGAAGCTGCAATAACTAATGTCCTATCAGATTAAACTAAGCCCTGTGCTAGCTGTGCCTGCAGTGTTTCTCGTTACCTTCAGTATGGCTAGGGAAGCTCCCAACCGCCTCGAACAGTGTCTGAAACATTCTTATCTAATCATGACCAAAGCTGCACTTCTGTGTCCCAGCACGTCCCCAGACCGAAACAGAGAATTATCTGGAGCTTCTATGAGCTCTTCAGTTTGGTTCAGCTTTGTGAGCTGGCATTAATAGCCCACACGAAGCTTGTAAGTTAGTGGGCTAAACCTTCATTTGTATATCATTTGTTACTCAACCTTGCCTGATGTGTGCATAGCTTTCCAATGCACCCATGCTTTTGCAAAAAGCCTGTAGTCAAAACTTTTTACTCAAAGTATTTTTTCCTTTAAATTTTTGCACAGGAAGTAAGGATTCCTGTAGAAAAGAGCTTCTGATGTCATCACATCATCAGCTGTGTATAATGCCTAGAAGGGGCCACAGCACTGAGAGATTACGCTCATTAAATGTGTCAGCACCGCTCTCCCTAAATAAGGTAAATGCTACACGTTACAACATGAACTCTCTAGCCTCACCACTCCACTGAAAGCAAACAATAAGCCAGAGAAAGAGCTTGCCCTTATCTGCCTTTAGAAATAATCGGACTGCAGAAATCCAGGGATGGTCAGGGGGCCAGTTCCTTGAAATCAAACGGTGAAGCCACAGGAGACAGACAAAACTGAAGAAAAGCACTTGTCTTGGAGGGAGCAGCAGGACAGAAACAGGTGGGCTATTTCCTTAGAGGATGCCAAAAGGGAAGCAGAGGCTCCAAAGAGAGGAGCTACATTATTTTGGCCGGCATGGGAGGAAGAAGGCAAAAGTGCTGCCAGACAGTGATCTCCAGACTCAGGATCTGCTTAAAGAACCAGAGGATCCCCCAGTGTACCGAAAGTGATTACCTCCCACCAGGAGGGCTGGGACTAGTATTGCCTTGCAGTCCCTCTTCCCCAACCTTACTCTAGTTTTTGTGTTCTTTTATATCCAGAATGAATGCTTGATTTGGTATTTCATTGTTGTTTCATTCCAAAAGCATTTTCTTACCATCTTCCTCTTTTTTAGGAAGTTTGAGAACTGCTTGCTAGTTAGCAACCACCTTGCTACTCCCACTCATTATAGAAAGATTTCTGCCTTCTCTGGGGGCCACTCCTTCCCTTCCAACAAGCTATGGCCTCTCTGTCTGCAGACCTGGTTCCAGCCAGCTCACTCCCACCTGAGCTCTTTATAAAAAAACATGATTCCTCTCCCTCCCTTCCCTGTGTGACAGGGACAGCACTAGCAACACATGGACAGCACTAATGGTGACCACCAGTGTATCACTTAGGTCACAAAGCAGTTTGCCGATGAAAAGCCATGTTCACTTTTTGCTAAATGAATACAGAGTTTCTTATGAATCACCTAGAAATGAACAACCGAGTCACATTCCAGGAGGGGAAGCTTCCCCGGAACCTCTAACAAGCACGTTAGCTTGCTTGCATCACGTGAAGGAAACATTTCAGCTGATGGCTGCCCAGAGAAAAAAGAATTAAGTGAAATCTTATAAAATTACATTGCTGATTTTCTGTTTGACCTGTCCTAGTCTTCCTCTGCTTCACTCATCATTACTTATTTACTTTAAATCACAGTTATTTACTTTAAATTCTCGCCTACTAAGAAATAGTGACTGGATCTGTTGTACCTCCATGGTTATTTTACTACAGTATGACTACTTTGTAAAGCATGAAAAACAATTCTATATTAACCCAGGGAAAAAAAGAGTATGTTTTTTAGGCTATTTTGAATACAAGTGCTATAATTTTTTGCAGTGATACACTGGGTCTCTCAATTCTGTCTTAAAATAGAAGAGCATCCATTGAAAAACGGAATTTGCTGCTCTTAAATGATTCAGCTACTGCATGTCCATGAATTAATCAAACTCCTAATTAAAATAAGAGCAATTATTATCTTTTAGGATCTAGAAAGGACTTAGAAACCTGTTTGAAGAAGAAGCTGTCCAGGAAGGATATTTTTCTCGCTAGTGATGCATTACGCCACACAACCTCATCAAAAGGAAGTCACTATAGAGTAGACAAACTCATTGAAAAACTTGGAAAATGACCTCTAAATATTTATCAGTTATGTACTGTCAGAGCGAACATAACTAGCACGGGTCTGTGGTAGACCCAGTTCTATTCAGTGCTTTCATTAACAACGTGGTTGAAAGATTACAAAATACATTTCTCAAATGTGGCAGGTCTCAGATGTGTCCAGTGATGGGAGCAGTGAAGTGCTGCAAACACTATGGAGGCCAGGATCACAAACCAAACCAAATTTTGAATTAGAAACTTATTTATTAGTAAAATGCTGTAACGTTGGAGAGATGACATGACACTTACGAAAAAGAAGTCAGGTGAACAAAAATACAAACTGGGCAATAAGTGGATAGGTGGCAAAATGGCAGAAGAAGCTTTTTGTGGTGATAATGTGCTACTAAGTGATATTTACAAATAATAATAACAATTTTTAAAAAAAGTTTCAGATTCTGCAGCTAGGTAATTGTATTTGAATAGCCTTTCTGTTTCCAGTGAAACTACATTTATGGTCGTACTTACGCATGTATGAAACTACCTGCGTTAAAGGGTAAATTCTTTTGAATCACTTTGATCTTAGCTGTTTTAAACCCATGGCATTTCAACACAAAGGTCTTTTACTGAGACAAAAGAAAAGCTTAGTCTTCTGAATGCATTTTTAACATGTTGACTACATTCATACTACTCATAGTCTTAGATGCCCAGTACTAGGAACAATTAATGCACATATACAGATACATCCAAGCCACTTTGAAGCACAGCTGGCGAAATGCAAACAGCAAAAGAGGAGTCAAAATACAGCTATTTTGTTGACCTACAAAATTTTAATACACTTATGCATGATGCCAGTTTCAAGGATCTATGATATTTGCTTAGTAACGGCATGTCTCAATTAGAAGGCAACCAGAAAAAAAGCTTCTTTGAAAAACTGAAACTTTACTAACCATGGGGAATTAAACCAAAGAAACAAGTACAAATAAAACATTTTAGTAACTGGAGAGGAATTAAAGACTAGCACCAAGCAAACAAAACTTAGTTTTCTGTTAATTTTAAATAGAAAAAATACTTATCTAGTTCCTTTTTATTCATCTGATGTTCAGTGAATTTAATGAAGTGGACGTTCAGCAGGAAGCCACCAGCGAGATTTACTACCTTTTTTTTTTTTTTTTCTCTACACAAACATCAGAAATATGCACTTCTTAAGAATGAGTTCACAAGGCCACATCAAGACTTAGAGTAGAAAATCCAGACATGAATAGTTCTTTACAATATATATACCTCAAAAAGGCATGGGCATGTGATATAGAAGACACCTACACATGATAATTTTACAACAGCTGCACCAACTCGCTAGGATTCACATGACTTCCTTGCCAGAAGGAGCATTTCCGTCCCACTGTGAACTTGTAACACTCATTAGAGCTAATGGAAATTATAAACATCCAAGGGACACTATTATAAAGGACTAGTATAGCACTCTTTAAGATTATGTGGAGTTTTATGTATATATCTGTATAAACATACTCATATATATAAATAGGTAGAAAACTTTTTAACATATTTTTTAGTAGTTCTTTTCTGGGATGTATTAACACTACACTAATTAGGCATTTGTGATCATATTGTCTGTTATTATTCTAAAGAAATAAATGGAAAATCTTGTATATAGATACGGACCTAGGAACCCACTGCTTGTCCTTTGCCAAGACTTCCATAAATGCGTAATAAATTAAACAGTCACATGCCTTAACTATAAAGCTCCAAGAACATATTGTAACCTGTCAAAACAAAGTGAAAAAGGGCAGGCAAACAGTAGGGGGTTCTGCTCCAAGGAAGCAAAAGATGCCGCAGTGTTCATTAAGGATACCATAGAGTGCATTCCCAGCAAGGCATCTTCTGTAAAAGACGGCAGGGGATGAAGTTATGGCCTTTTCTATACAATACATAGAGGCAGGAAAAATGGAATTTGCATATGGGAAGGGCAAAGTCTCTGCTAAATCCTTTATACAAGTAGCGCAGGCAAAATATAAATGCTCTCCCACAAGCTGAAGGAATATTTACAATCCCCTCCTTCAAGTTCCTTTAGTTGCTCTTCAGTCATGGACACGAAACACAATGTAGGGATAGCATTTTCAGAAATGTCTTAGAGCCTGCAATTACTGTTGATGAAGCCTGATATCTAGACTAATGCATGTCTCAAGGCAGATGTGGAACTATTAGGCTTAATACCAAGAGAATATTTTCTATCATTGGGTCTGCATCTAACTGAGGGGGTGCAGAGCTAGCATTTCTCCAGAACTTTCTTCCCTTATCTGCAGTTATTTTCAGCAATTTTCCACAAGATATTGCTCATGCTTAACTTACTTTTTGATATTTCGAATGATTCAAACTTCACCGGCTGTATGTAGTTCACCAGATTAGACATCTCTTCTGTGGCCATAGCTTCACTTCCAGCAGTTCCCTGAGACAGAGAAAGGAAAACATTGCAGATTTAGCCTACCAAAACCCAGCGTGCCTGTCAATGCAGTAACCACAAATACCAACGCTCATGATTTCTTCTACTAATACTGGCTAAGTCAAGTCAATGCTTCATACAAGAAGCTGCATATACTAATGAAGAGAATTTGCTACACATTTTAAGGTCAAATTAAACTGATGCTGTATTCTTTCTGTCTACAGGGCTCCTAGGGAAGGGAGGGCATTACCTTGGTACTGACAGGCTGCTGAGTATGTGTATCAACACTGTGGAATAAATACCCTGCTCTAGTTTTTCAATATCCATTTTTTATTTCCAACGGTGTTAAATACACCACAAGCAGTTGTCTAAAACAGATCTGCCATGGTGTTATGAAGTCTTATTATTCAAAAAAGTAAAATATGAATGAATAAAGCACAAATGTGCTTCCAAGCCTATTAGTAACCAACTCCAGAAGGCTGCTGTAGCAGGTTTCCCAGTGCTCTGCTTCCTTCCTCCACTAGATGGTAGTCCAAGTTCTGGTAAGACAAGTCAACTCAAAATTGTTTGAACGGACCCATCAAGATAAAACAAATATACAGGCTTACTTCATCCATCGAGGACTTTTTACAATCATCATCATAGTCATCATCATCATCGCTCTCAATCTCTGCTTCTCCTGAAATGTTTTAAGCACAGGATTATTATTGGTTGAAGCAATAGTTATAAATTTATCAGGCATATACTTGAAAAATATAGAACTGGTTTAAGGATACCATATTATATATGTACTGTTTGTCATAAGACAAAGCAAACACACAGTCTGGAGGGATTTATCTGCATTCTTACCATCCCAAACAACAAAACCTTCCTTGTAGCAGCCGGACGGTCATTATTTGGACATCACGGAGTGGGTATCGGAACTGAGAAGAGAGTCCTCACTGTGCATAGTTTGCTGAAAAGACAGTCCTATCCCTAGGTCACCACCCTCGGGTTAGGAAGCCAAGTTCTAACTTCCTCTGTGCCACAGGATCCTTTTATGCCCTTGAATGACTCCTCCACCCCAGCCGCGAGTGGGCAGGGAACAGCGTTCACAGGGTGAACAAATCTTACATGAACATCGATGAGACTCCTAGGTACTGTGGTGACAAGGACTGTACAGACAAATCCATCTCTCTTAGTCTTAGTACCCTGTGTGCACCAAGGGGGCATAGCTGGCATGGGCTGGCACCAGAACATCCAGTTTCAGCAGCATGACTTCAGCTATGTTCATTGAGACTGGCTTGCTGTAGTTTCCTACTCGAACTGAGCAGATCTCAAATTGACCAGCTGAGGGCAGTGCTAATCAAATAATGTGAAAAAGATATAAATCTCATCTTTTCCTTGAAAATGAACTGAAGACATAAATGGGATCAAATAAAACACATTTAGACCTTGTTCACCATAGCAGGATACTCATCAGATTCCTATGGGATAGACTCACTTTTTTATTGTTAATTAAAAAATGTCTCCCTCCCTCCAACAAAATATTTTGCTTCAGTTGCCCCAGGATTCAGTTAATCCATTAAGTAGTATTCTTTTTCTTTCTCTCCTATCTTTTCTATCTTTCTCTTTACTATTTCCTATCATAGCTTTGGCTCTCATACAGTATACACCATGAGTATTAAGAAGACTCTGAAAACCGAAGTTTAACTTATACTGCAATCACCCATTTGCACCTATGAGATTAACAACTCTCCTTAAAGACCTTATTGCCCATAGCTTTCAGCTTTCTTCAGCAGTAGCAATTTTATTTTGGTAGCACAAAAATCTAACCACTGTGCAGCATTCCCAAATTCTCAAGGGAATGGTAATTCCCTCTCTGTTCCTTATGTCAACTTAGGGCCTAAGCCAAAGCTTACTGAACCCATAAAGAAACTCCTCTTTATTCCAACAGGTCTTGAATCATGCCCAGCAGGCCTCTTCAGAACATGCAGAGCACATATGATTTAAATAACGAGTGCTCCTTTCACAACCAAAGGATGACTACCCAGGCTGAATTTCCTTCCAGATGCAGATGTTGAAATGTCATGCTTTTTATTCATGAACATATTTCTTCCCGAACATTTCATTGAAGAAAATAACATGATTGCTCAAGAGGCTCAAGGGATGGCTCAGGGAACTTCAACGAGAGCCAGCGGTGCTCTCACAGGATTTGCAGCGACAGCCTTTGCATGGGAAGCCCTCACTCTATTTATCCAGACTGGCAAAATAACACTTCTCATAATGCACAGAGTGGGAGACAAGGGCAGACGTCAGCCAGCTTGCACCGCTGCGCTACCAAGAAGATGATAGCTCGTTCCTACTAAAAGTGGCCAGAGAAGAAAATATGCAACACATTATCCATTTATTTTTAAAAAAAAACCATAAACAAACAAACCAAAAAAATGAGGATAACTTCCAAGGAGATCAAATCTTATTTTCAAGTTCTCCCTCCTACAGCAGATCCGACACAAGTAACAGTAATGATGCAAACAGACTAAAAATTACTAGTTTTAGACACTTGCTACATCCACATTGCCTTTTACCCAATGGCACAGTCCTGTGTGTAAGATCAAACTTCTTCTGCTATCAATCACACTGCTGAGAGGCAAACTCAGAGCAAGCCTTGGCCAGCGTGAGGAGCTCCTTGAGCCCCTGACCCTGTTTCTCACCTGGGCCAGGTGTCACCCTCCACGGACCTTCCTGGGAGGATACAGACAGGGTTTGTCACCAAAGCTTGGGGGATCTGCTGACAGCTGTGGCTGCGTTCAAGTGCAACGCGGTGGTAGGGAGCTCTACCAGGCAGCATATTAGACCTTTGGAGGACAGTCTTTCCATCAGCTACATGAACATGCTTCAAGCCATACTGCAGACTTTTGCTTCAGAAGCTTTTAAAGTAATTGCTGCTATATCACAATCATCTAGCCTTCCTAAAGTATGTTTTACAAACATAAGAGAGCTAAGGGTTTAATTTAAATCTGACCTCAAGCAGTACAAGGCACAGAATAGCTTGCTATCAACTGGAGTATGGATCCTCATAATTTTGGCACTGCTATGAAAAAAAATACTTAAAATCTCTCAGAAAGTTCAATCTGCACAATCGGAGATCAGCTGTAATTCTGGCAGGTCCAATACAGTAAAATAGAATTATTTGAATATAACACCCAACCTCCTAATTGTAAAAGAGTATATTAAGGCAGCAGAATCAAAACATTTAATGTTAAGAAATATTAGAATTAGGCTTCTTTTACTGAGTCTTTAATTACTTTGTTCTTCTCATGCTACAGAAGTAAATTGGGACTGAGTCTGCTCCCTTGCAGAGGAGCAGAATGTCTGCACAGCTTCAGCTTTATATGCTGCAGATATTGAGATGCAGGTAAGGAATGAGGCCATGAAGAGAAGGGTGTCATGATTACTGTACTTGAGTACAGCCCCATGGAGGCAGGCTCTACACTTGATCTTGACATAGTTTTCTTGTGAACTGGTGAGTGATTTAAAAAAATTATTCACAAACAGAAATCTGGCATCTGATTTCCAGAAATGCAGAGTGCTCATAGCTGCAGCTGAAGTCCCTGGAGCTGTGCACTAAATACTTAAAAATTCAAAATATTCTTAAAAATCAGATTGTGCGTGTTGCTAGAGCAAACATTTGACTGATTGCCTTTTTCTATAAGTCTTTAGTCCTAAAATAAAACAATGACCAACAGAGTGACTGTGTGTAATGCATCTTGGCAGTCTCACATGAACAAAGCTACTGAATTAATTCTCCATTCTCAGTTCCACCATTTTCTAAGTGCTTATTTTTACAACCTATGATAATCATAGATTCTTAGACAGATGAGTAATATAAACATAATATTCACAGATAATTTTTAAACTTAGGTACCCTAGTACAGGACTGATCTTCTTTATATCATCATCAACATCTGGATTCACAACCCACGCCTCTTCCTAACAGGGCTAATGGATAAGTTCCTGAAGCACCAAGCTGTTACTCTCTAGGCACACAGGCCACTCAGAAAAAAAACAGCAGACATGCACTTTGCCATTGGTTTTCCAGTATGTGCTGATAATAAGACTAGAGAGCCTTAGGTCAATCTCAAGTTTTGGAAAGAGGTGGGTTGGCATATGCACACTTATTTTTCTGATGCTTGCAATCTGCTAAAGCAAATCATGAAAATGGAATTAAAACATTCCTGACACCAGGGTAAATGTTCCTTTGAAATTCAAGACCTGTTCCAGAGCATGACCTTCTTAAAATTTCTTAAACAATAGTTGAAAATTCTTTCTTTATTTGCTTCTAATAGGATAAACAATGACATCCACAAATATAGCAGGACCATTTAAAAAAAATTAGCTTGAGGGAAACAGCGTGAAATCTTTCAGCCCAATTAATCAGAGTTTAGAGAAAAAAAAAAGTGTAAGCAATAGAATAACAGAATTTCTTATAGCAAATGGTAATGGACTTGTTTTCTAGTGGAGATTTCAATCTTACACTGTTAAGTATTCTAAAACTAGGGCATAAATGCATATGCTCTTAGTAATTCTGAAATCCAGTCTTAAGAGAAAAAAGGAACTCTGATGGGGGGAATGGGCCCCAGGCTGGGAATTATGATAACCAAATATCATTGCTTTTTCTGCTACTGATCTGCTTTTGTGAATTAAATACTTTCTCTTGGCAATTTGTTTCTTTCCTATTTATGTTTTAAGCTTTTCACGGCAAAGACCATCTCTTCTGTACTTTTGCACACCAGCAGCCACACCTGACCCCTGCAGATCCTATAAACATTACCAGAATTGACCTATTAAGTTAAAGCAACCTTTCTATTTAATTTCTGATTTTGAAAAGTCCTATGTAGCAGGGCTCTGAAGGGACACCAAATGCAGGCATGCCTCAGAAACAACAAACAATGTTTGCATTTGGTACGGGGCACCCGGCAAAGGCATCTGAAGGTGCAGCAGCTGTCAGCTTGCTCAGCTTCCTAAGCAGTGCAGATAAATGTTAGTAAACATCACTGGGCTCTGGGTCACCCTGTGAGTGATTCTTTAGCCTCAAGCTCTCCTCGTCTCCTGGAACAAAGCCGGGTATCCTTTTTTCCTACAGAGTAAGGCCCACACTGCTAGAGCAATGCAAAAGGGTTGCAAAGCACAACTTTAATTAAGCATTTCTGTTTAAAGGAGGAGAAATGAGAAGTCAATTATTACCTGCTCCAGGGGAGGAAGGTTCAAACATACTAGATGTATCACTGCATGTGTTAGAAGCTTGCTCAGAGAGTTTCTTTTTTGCACTTCCATCTGCAGACTTATGTGACTTCTTTTTATTCTTCACCAGGATTTTGTACATTAAATCCGTAGGGCTCGGGAGCGGAACCCCAGGTTCAAGCTTGCAGGAAAGGAAGAGAAATTTTTAGCAACAAGAACATATACAAGCTTACAGCAATTTCTTAGGGCCTGCTAGGTGCAAGACAATTTTGTAACCTCTATGAGCCCTTTTAAAATAAAATGTGTTTTCCACAAGAGGTAACCACCCTACTAAAAGAAACAAGGCTACTGGGGACACTCAAAAAGAAAAGAAAAATGCCTTATGAAATGTCTACAGTAATGACTGCAATAAGTATTAGTTCAGATATGCAAGCCTACATTATCAAACGGCCGCTATGAGAATGAATTGTAATGAGAGGACTACAATTCAGAATATCAGAATAACATTTGCATCAGAAATCATCTGCTTAAGTCACCAGCAGCACATGTTGCTTAAACTTCATCTTCCAAATGGGAAGGGTTTATATGACAAATGACACAGAACTAGAACACTTATTTAAGAATTCACAGAGATATTTGTGATCTGATAAATACCAAGCCGTATTACCGGATATTTTTCCAATGGATCCATAAGCAATGCATCTCCAAATATTAATCTGCAGTATTCTGCCATTTTTGCCTGCTGTTTAGGGCTAAAGGAGGAAAAAGAAAGAAATAATTGAGATTTGTTCATGCTACAAACTGAAAACAGCAGCAGTAGAGTATCTAACATCCCTAAACTAGATAAAATTTTTGGATCCTACCATTGTGAATTGTTCGCAGAGATGTAAATAGATCATGCAATTACTTGAATTCTCTGCTAGAGCCTATCAAAAGGAGTATACTTGAGGTAAAGGCACTGTTCACTTGAATACTAGCAAAACAAACTCATAAGATTGAGGTGTATTTTCATCTTGATGGAACATAAAAAATGAGTATGTTAGTTGTTAGTGCATGGAAATAACTATCACATGAACTTGCTTCCTTCAGGCAACTTCTGTATTTGAAATCTAAATATTTTCTCCCGTCTGTCACTTTTATGGTCCAGACATTCTTTCCCCCCACACTCACCCCATTTAGATTTCTTTCTCTCTTTCTCATACATAACCTGGGGGCATTAACACCAAGACGGTTACACTGAGAAACGTCTCATGTGTATGCATCTCCCTTTCAAACTTCCCAAACCAGGGGAGCCTATTACCTGACCTAGCACGTCCAGATGGCACAGCCACATGGAGGAAGGGTCAGAAGAGATTGCTTGGCTGGCAAAAACAGTCAAATCGCATGAGGAACATGCAGCTCGCTCAGGCCCGGCAAGGTTTGAGGGTGGATTTTGTTGCAGTGGCACTTTCTGCCCTACTTGTGCCCACCTCGTCCGCCAGGCTCACAGCGGAGCTGTTTGCGGGTCTGACCAGCTCAGCCCGGAGCTGGGATATCCTCATCAGCAAAAGGCACAGGGGAGATGTCATTATACTGCCACTAGGTGATACTACGTTGTGGTGGAGAACAACAAGTACTGGCATAGTCATATTCCATATGCACAGCCAGCATTTCAAACTATGTGCATGTAACACGCATATAACCAGGACAAACTCACCACAAAACCCTTCCTAGCCAAGACCTGGATTTAACAAACTGCTAGGTGGAGCTGCTGGATGATAATTTTATCTCACTGCTTGGATCAGTGGCGAGATTCCTTTCTTACCAGATACTGTGCCAAATTTTACCATAGTAAATTACTTTGGTGTTTTTCGTGACATCCTCTGAAGGAGAAGCCAAACCTCAGCAAACTTTGCTTATAATCAGTTTGCCCAAAATACAACCCAAGAGTAAAGTAATTCCTGCATATCACAGTGATGGGAGTTTTAGGACTGAAGATAGGTTAAACTGCTTAGAAATACTGGCATCATAAATTCAGCTGAGTGCTACAGTCACTCCCTTCCTACTTTCAGACAACCATGTGTTTTTGTTCTATACGCCTGTTTAAGAGCTGAAACATCTGAGCTTAGGTCTCTCTGAAAGTTTCTATTTTTGATACCCTGATGGGAAGTTTCAATTAAAAAAGGACAGCTTTATGTTGCTTAACATAACTTCCTCAACTGATTTCTAATTATATCATGAAAGCTACATGAATGGTACAAGCAATTATGGTACTATGGAGTTATTTTTCAGGACAAAACAGTTGGGTATATATGAAGAGAAGTACTCATCTTTTTTTTTTTATGGTAGACAAACAGTACAACCCTGTGTGTTCAGAAAATTTGAAAAATCCAACACTTACTGTTGCATTTTATCAGATTCAAATAAGAAATTCCTCTCCCTGAAAAGTGTTTTAGCATATGTGGCTAATCTTCTACACAAAAAAGTTTAAAGATATAATGGTGGGTTCCTTTTAAAGGCTTTTCACATTATCGGAGCAGTAAAAAAGCTCTTCAGGAGGGAAAATCTTCCCCAAATTGTTCTCCTTTCACACCTGCCCCACTATTTCATATTACGACCACTTCGTATCAGGTGGCCCGGGAGTGTCTGACACAGGAGCAGCTCCTGGGGTCGGCAAGGCCAAACAGGAGCTGAGATACAGCTGGATGGCATTTGAATCCCCAAACACAAGTTTCCTGAGTTCAGCATTCTGGATGGCACTCGGTGCCAGTACAGGGTAAACTGGTTGCCAGCTCAGGCAATTACAAAACATTTTGCGAGCAGGTTTTCAATGATTCCACAAAGCTACGCAAGGGCTGCATGCAGTCTAAAGCACAACACTATTTCATTAATTCTCTCCTCTACATGCAGCTGATTCTGCAAAAAAGAGCCACTTTCAACTTCAGTTGTAAAATTCAGAGAAGAACGAGCAAGCCAGTAGAACTAAGAACTCACAAGATGATGGAAAGAATAAATCAAGTAATGATAATATTTACTTGCCAGCTACCGAGCAAAATAAAGGCACATCATTTTACTTTAATAAGAGAGCTGACTGGGTATTTGCTAACACTTTTGCCTCCAAGAGATAAATTATAAGGAAATGTATCTCAATCTTCTCCACTGGTGTATATTTTGAATGGATCCGCGCTCCCCGCACCCAGGAAGTTCAAAGGATATATCCCCAAATCCAAAGAGCATAATTATTTAAAACTCAGTACACACATGAGATCAGACATCAGCTTCTTTAAACGGGCACATCAACTCCAAAAAGAATTGAGAACAGAATAGAGAACAGAAAGCACCATAGAAAAGCTGAATCTAATAATTTTCATGAGATCACCACAGTTAGAAGAAATTCTAGGATGTGCCCTCGTGGCCAAGAAGGCCAATGGGATCCTGGCTGCATCAGGAGGAGCGTTACCAGCAGGTCAAGGGAGGGGATCCTGCCCCTCTGCTCAGCTCTGGTGAGGCTGCACCTGGAGTATTGGGGGCAGTTCTGGGCTCCCCAGGACAAGAGGGACGTGGAGCTTCTAGAGAGGGTCCAGCATAGGGCCATGAAGATGATAAAGGGCTTTATTGATTTATTGATTTATTATATTTATTGATTTATTATTTATATTGATTTATTGATTTATTGATTAATTGATTGATGATTATGCGACAAGGAAAGCTAAGGCACGTCTGGAAGGCAAGCTGGCAAGGGACGTTAAAAATAACAAAAAAAAATTCTTCAAATACATTAACAGCAAAAGGAAGATCAGGGAAAACGTGGGTCCGCTGGAGGACGGGATCTGCTTAGAAATACTGGCATCATAAATTCAGCTGAGTGCTACAGTCACTCCCTTCCTACTTTCAGACAACCATGTGTTTTTGTTCTATACGCCTGTTTAAGAGCTGAAACATCTGAGCTTAGGTCTCTCTGAAAGTTTCTATTTTTGATACCCTGATGGGAAGTTTCAATTAAAAAAGGACAGCTTTATGTTGCTTAACATAACTTCCTCAACTGATTTCTAATTATATCATGAAAGCTACATGAATGGTACAAGCAATTATGGTACTATGGAGTTATTTTTCAGGACAAAACAGTTGGGTATATATGAAGAGAAGTACTCATCTTTTTTTTTTTATGGTAGACAAACAGTACAACCCTGTGTGTTCAGAAAATTTGAAAAATCCAACACTTACTGTTGCATTTTATCAGATTCAAATAAGAAATTCCTCTCCCTGAAAAGTGTTCTGGCATATGTGACTAATCTTCTACACAAAAAAGTTTAAAGATATAATGGTGGGTTCCTTTTAAAGGCTTTCTACATTATCGGAACAGTAAAAAAGCTCTTCAGGAGGGAAAATCTTCCCCAAATTGTTCTCCTTTCACACCTGCCCCACTATTTCATATTATGACCACTTCGTATCAGGTGGCCCGAGTGTCTGACACGGGAGCAGCTCCTGGGGTCGGCAAGGCCAAACAGGAGCTGAGATACAGCTGGATGGCATTTGAATCCCCAAACACAAGTTTCCTGAGTTCAGCATTCTGGATGGCACTCGGTGCCAGTACAGGGTAAACTGGTTGCCAGCTCAGTCAATTACAAAACATTTTGCGAGCAGGTTTTCAATGATTCCACAAAGCTACGCAAGGGCTGCATGCAGTCTAAAGCACAACACTATTTCATTAATTCTCCCCTCTACATGCAGCTGATTCTGCAAAAAAGAGCCACTTTCAACTTCAGTTGTAAAATTCAGAGAAGAACGAGCAAGCCAGTAGAACTAAGAACTCACAAGATGATGGAAAGAATAAATCAAGTAATGATAATATTTACTTGCCAGCTACCGAGCAAAATAAAGGCACATCATTTTACTTTAATAAGAGAGCTGACTGGGTATTTGCTAACAGTTTTGCCTCCAAGAGATAAATTATAAGGAAATGTATCTCAATCTTCTCCACTGGTGTATATTTTGAATGGATCCGCGCTCCCCGCACCCAGGAAGTTCAAAGGATATATCCCCAAATCCAAAGAGCATAATTATTTAAAACTCAGTACACACATGAGATCAGACATCAGCTTCTTTAAACGGGCACATCAACTCCAAAAAGAATTGAGAACAGAATAGAGAACAGAAAGCACCATAGAAAAGCTGAATCTAATAATTTTCATGAGATCACCACAGTTAGAAGAAATTCTAGGATGTGCCCTCGTGGCCAAGAAGGCCAATGGGATCCTGGCTGCATCAGGAGGAGCGTTACCAGCAGGTCAAGGGAGGGGATCCTGCCCCTCTGCTCAGCTCTGGTGAGGCTGCA